CAATGAAAAAAATAAAAATTAATCTAATTTATTAGTGAGGTTTAACAGTTTCATATCTTTTAAACGTCTGTAATTTGTTTGTGAATGCTGTGTACTTTTCTGTTGTTTTTATTAACTCAATTTATAAGGATTTAAAGTTCTAAAGAGATTATCTCTTGTCTTTACCTTCTCATTACTACTCCCTATAAGTAACCATTGAATCATTATTGATGTTCTATTGTGTAGCCATTTAGCTCTTTTCCTATGTACAAATTTAATATTTATTTAAAATTATATATCTGTTAACAGTAAAATGTTTAAATATATATATATATATTACTTAAAAGGTATGCATTATAGATAGGATACATTATTATATTATGTATAAAATAATATGTAATCTACTATACACTGCTTGCTTATTTCACACAGCAGTAAAAAATGTCACTAAGGTATTTTTAAAGGCTGAAATAGGTTTCATTACTTCATTGAAGGTCTATTACATTTTCTCTCACCTTTCCACTCCGAAAATGCAGTGAAAATTTAGGGCATGAATGTGGGACAAAGTACAAGAGCTGGAATTGCCTCCTTTCCCCTAAGTCACATGAAAATTGTGGTGGAAACCACCTTAACAATTGTTCTAACATTCTCATCCCTTAATATGTTTGCCAACGTCATCAATCTCAAATATTATCATTACAATATTGGAATCTCTTTAATTTCTAACTCCTTGATCCCTTGTGAATTTAAGTGAATTGCCATGTATTTACCAGACATTTGGTTTTCTTCTGTGAATTTCCTTTATATGCCCTTTGCTCCTTTCTGTCCTCCCTGTGGAACTGTTTTCCTCTTATTTCAAGGAGCTCTACGGATATGAGGGATATTAACTAACATGTGTGTCAAACCTTATCTCCCAAGAACCTCTAAAAGGCATCTGATGCTTGTAAAGTCCCCCCCCTCCTATCTGCCCCTCCCTTTATTATATTCTTTCCGGTTGACCTTTCGGCTAGTCTGTTTCCTGCTTTATTTGTTTCACTACTAAACTAGAAGAGAGTCAGGGATATGGAATTAAATATTTGAACAGGGCTTATGACAACTTTAGCTTAGTTAGAAAGGATATGAAAATTTCTCACTTCGTGTGTGTGGAGGATTTTGTGGGTGTTTCCTGTCTATTACAATTTTTCATGAAGTGACTTTTCCTTCAAAACCATGAATAATGACTGAATATATATCCCAGCGAAAACATAGAGCTGGCGGACATACTGGCTGATGAAATGTAAAAAATGCAGTTTGTGGTTCTGATGCCCCGATGATCATATATTTTAGGAGTCAAATGTATGATCAGTTACCAAATATTTGAAATATATATATGATACTCCGAGATAGAATGTTTTCTTCAAGCAGATGCTGTGCTAATCTATTTTTTTTCATAATATAAAAACAAAAAAGCATGAGGCGTATTCACTAATTCACATGGAAAGGACTGGGACTGAAAGATAGGTCAAAGTAATATTATCTTGGGGACAGAAGAACAGTCTGGAAATGTTATACATTTCAGGAGCCTTTTGGATTACTAGCTCTTGCAGGTGTATAGAGCAGGGAGAAACAAATGTTTAATGATACTTTTAAAAACAATACATTTCTACGTTCCCATGTTAATTCCCCCAATCTTCCCCAAATAAATAATTACTGTCCTCTTGCTACTCCTGGCTTGTGTTTCCTTAATGTTTCTATTTTATTCTGACCAAATTGAGAGTCTTTATTTGTTGCTAAACTAACTTTAATATAAAAGACTATATTTTATGGCATGGCTATATTCATTGATAACCATTGAAAAGCTTGCTTGAGGTAATAAATTGAAATTTTTCTTTTTTTCCCAAACATCCTATGAGAAAAATGTTACAAGTATATGTAATTAAATCAATTCATAAAAATTACATTATGGAGAATAAAGATGGGCTATCATTGTTTATTTAGGGAACATAGTACCTTGTACTTTATAATATTTTAAAAAATACTTGCATCCAAAGGTAATTGTTACATTTTCATTGGCAACTACTGTTTTCTGGAAAACCATACGTGTCCATGTACTTCTTTGCTTTGTTTGTTCTTAAATAATCTGAGAAAAAAGATTTTTATATTAGCTGAATATTGAGTTTTAATATTAGGTGTGGTAGATTCTATTGCTTTAAACTTCCATTTTATATCTTTAATGCCTCTTGCTCTTGGCAAATTATAATTCAGGAAAGCAGAAAAATCTAGTATGCAAAATCTAGTATTTGGCAGCCAAGATAATCAGCATTTATGCACACTGAAAATTTTCAATATTTATGAAGAATTTTAAAATGTATAAAATGTGATAGAACTATTTACAAATTAAGACCTAGTGCCTCTACATTTTCCACAGGGTTGATTTTAATCTTGTTTTTTACATATAAGGAAATAGTAGTATACTTTAAAAATAGCTTACATTATAATGAACAAAATAGTCTTGTCATATAGAATGAGACAGTATTATCATGTATTGGAAATTTAGGCAACAATTCTAGATCTATTTTGTCATAGTAAACATCTATTTGCCTTCACCTTTTCTTTTCATGGGTGACCTGTTTCTGTTTTCTGGGCTAGGCCTCCAATGAGGGCAAGCAAGACGAGGCTTAGTCTGTTGTCTCAATAAAATACTGGTAACACTGGTGGTCATAGGCATTCTCTAGTGGTCCTTAGTATGCTCCTCTTAGCAATGATTATACTGTATTTTTGGGCACAAGTGACTAATTACTGGGATTTAATAATTATAAAAAGATGTCATAATGTTATAGTATAAGAGTTAGTATTTCTGCTAACTCTAATTTAGGCTCATTTCCTTTATTTAAAAAGGAAAAGAACATTTACTTGGAAATGGTAAGAGAAAACAGAAGTGGTTGTTTTGTAGTGTTTCATGAACTAAAATTTGGAAAACTTTACTAATATTTCTTGTTCTGTCAACATATGCTCTTCAGGAATACTAATGGATTACAAATTGAACTAATAGAACAATTCAAGTTCATTCATTGTTTTTGTACAAAGAGGGTTTCATTTCAAGACAAATTCACACTCTGGCAAGTAATAGATTGAACTAGGATAACCTTGGCGACAGATTACGTATGACTAGCTTGTAATGGCTGATTTAACATCTGACATGGAAATTAACCCTGGATATATTATAGGCTTTGGTGTGGGGTAGCAGGGAGATGTGGCAGATGCATGTGTAAAAACTCTTATTTTAAATGCATGGTCTTGTATGGTTTAATTCTGTGAGTACTCTGAGTATGTCCAGACAAGAGATTTTAACTGTAAGCATAATTTCATTTACCCTAAATGTAAAAACAAAGCCAACCAGGGCCACTTAGGGAAGAGAGGATCCTCAAGGACCTATTTAGACAGTTGCTTCTAGAGAGAGAAAAAAAATGTTCAGTCAAAGACTTGTCAATCCTAATTTTAAAGATTGATTAGGTAGCTGATTTTTTTCTTCCTTCTGTCCTTGGAGAAAATGAAAAATAACAGGTCCCCTTCCACTTTACACTAACCATTCATATACTTTATGACAGTTAGCTTTCCCTTGAGTCTTCTCTTCTCCAGGAAAAATTATGCTAACTCCTTCAGTCTGTCCTCATAGGTCCTATTTTTCAACCATTAAATCATTGTATGGTTCTCCCTGTACTTTTCCCAGTTTCTTCAAAATCCCTTTAAAAATATAAAGTCTTAAGTTTTACATCTTTGTCTATATTAGATAGATTAGAATGCCAGAGGAATATTTCTTTCCACATTCCACGTCGAAAAGATGGTTACAAGACACAGGTCAGCTGGATGATAGGGAAAAGGAGAAAAAGAGAAGCCAGGCGAGCAGTTTAATATTCAACTCATTGGCTTTGTATGATCAGAAAGAGTAAAAACTGGGCCTGATAAAATGTCACAGGATTCTTCGTAAGCCCTTTGCAAAGATACTAAAACATAAAATTACTATAAAATCCATCAGGCTGCTTTTGAGTTTTCTTTAACTAAATAACTTAATACTCCTCTTTCATAATTATAATTCTGCAAAGTAAAACATTAGTATGTGAACTAACATCATGCCAAGTTCAGGTCCCCAAAAATGTGTAATGGAGGATGATGAGCCCTGCTAACTCAAGAGAGGGCATGGGGATTCAACGTTAGAGTGACCTCACCTTAATTAAGAGCTAGAACCACTTTTTCAAGTAGATATTAATGCCAAGAGGGGACACTGGTGGAGTGTTACTCAGCAAAGGTTTATTATTGGGTAGTACATGACCAGTAGGAAGAGCATGATATTGGCTTAGCTGACATGCTGTTCCGGGTTTATGGCCTGGTATTTTCTTCTCTGCAGCATCACCTTGATTTTGGGTAATGCTGTAGTAATTTCTACCTTTCCATTGCATGGGGGCCAAAAAGATCTTATCAACCAAATTCCCCTCTATAACAATTACTGTGAGAGCAAGATTCCATGGTAATAAAATCCTAGAATAAAAGCCCTAGAGTTTCTAGTGTTTTCTTACTTCAACTTAGGTGCATTGATAATTGAATTCTGTATTTATTTGATAATGTTAAACCTAAAGTCCTATCTATACCAAAAGCAAAATACTGGCATTTATCCTCTCTACTCTGGGTTATGCACGATGAAATAGGTCAACCGCTTCATAACCTCCATGAGAGAGAAATTCAGTCACTACGGAAAGACGGTACTTATCCTTTCCAATATCCTCCTTATCAATCAACAATAAATAATAGGCATCACAACAAAGTTGGCTTATAAAAGCTTTAGTTCCCCCAACTGAATGCTTCATGATTCACCCGTTGCTGGTTTATTTTCACTTTAGGGTGGGATAAAAATATAAATTGGCCAGGCCCACGTTGAAAAACCACAGGCCGATCTGAGAGGGCTCTTGCATTGAATGGTGTGCAGAGGTGAAATATTTGTATTTGGCGCTAACCCCTCTTTGAAAGCTAATGCAGGACGGTCTTACCATTTTTGCAGACAGGACAACATTGCTCTGGTTCATAGACTGGGTTGACACACTCAGGAACTGCGCAGTCTGCTACAACACAGTGAACTTCATTGCTGGGCTCACAGCGACACCATTCACATGGAGAGGGCTAGGAACAAATCTAAAATTAGCCCCTTTTCTCCTATAACTTAATGCTTGCACATTCATATGCTGTCAGAAGACAAAACATTAGTGTTTATATTGGCTTTACTGTATTAACTCCATTACCATGTGTATGATCATTCTTCCCCAATGGAAGGCAACCTAGACGTCCAAGCCACGGTAGGTTGTCATGTGCATCTTAGGTTGCCAGGAGCAACTGGGCATTCATGTATGACTTTCCTGCCTATGCTCCTACTTCCCAAAGACCATTTTGGACAACTAATATGTCACCTCCTGGTTTTGTTTCCAGATGTGCTGATTGCTCTGCCTTCCTCTCATAAAGAGGAATGAGACTGGAACATGTGAAGTAAGTTTTTGCCATTCATCATTTTTCTTCCTAAAGAAAATTACCGAGAAACAAGAACACGGTAAATGGACATTCTTACCTTTTTTATGAACTCTTTTGTTCCCAGCTAACCTAGACACTAAATGACTTTTTTTTTCATGTGAATTTTAGAGGAGATTGCATTTGGGATGCAAACATCCAGGCACTGCCTCTTGGAAGATTTAGTGAATACCTCGCATCTTGCCTGCTTACTTTTATGAACGAACTAAAATCCATCGGCTTAAAAAAGCCACTCTTGACTTATAAAGCCACTTTTTAAGAGTCAACGACTCTAAAAATAGAGCTGAAAAATGATTCATGTAGGAGGAAAATAAATTGATTGTAAATTGTAATTGAAAAAGAAAAATAAATCAGAAAGCTATTTTTGTCTTCAAAGTACTTACCGATTGAGAGTGAGTTTGGGGTTTTGTTTCCTTTTAGAAACTGCTTATACCACAGATAATCTTAAGCAGTGGCCCCTCTATGACTTTCACATTCTTTACAGGCTCTAGCTCTCCTTTCTCATGAAACAGAGGTTGCGAATTCTGGGATGACAACTTGGAGGTCTTAGAAGTTATGCAGGTCTATGTATCTCAAATCAAGCCATTTGTTTCCAGATAATTCTGCCTCCATCTCTAGGCCCCAGTCTCTCCCTCCCAGACTGTGTTAGTTAAAGCCCTCTGCCTTTGTCTCAGTGGCTAGTGCCCATACCATTGTCTGCTCTTATTTCTTCTGGAACTTGTAAATTTGAGTAATATCAGTGCTCCTGGACTCAGGGAGCCTGGGGGGATGGGGTGGTGGTGGAAATCTTTCAACTAATTATCTTAAAAGTAAATTTATATTTGCTTTCTGCTTGAAGAATTATTTTATTTTCAAACTTAGTAGGAATAAGAGAAGTATACACAGAATCTGTGGGAAAACATTGCTATTTCTTAACATGGTGATAAGTTTGTTAAAGGGCAGAGTTAAGGGCTTTACCAGGTGGTGAGTTGTGTTAAGCATTTCAGGAGAATTTACCGGATTGTCCCTAAAGCTGGGATATTCCTGAAGCTTCTCCACTGAATAATCTCAGTACATGAAGGAAAAGCTTTGAAACCACAGCACACTATCTGATGGAGGAAATGTTTAATGAGGAAACAGTGAGAGAGATGGACATTCTTGCTGCTATACTGTTCCGTTATGATATCTTACCTTCCCACGCAAAATTGTCAGGTGGCCCCCTTTCCTTGATTAACTGCAAAGTAGTGGCTGTGCACAGCCTTCTTAAAGCACAGAAGGACTTGGCCCGCATTTCTTGCTAATATGAGAGAAAAAGGAGCCACTGGTATGATCGCTTCCATACCCTGTCCTTCCTCAGCTGTGATCCTTTCTTCCTGCTGAAGGAGGGGCTGATCTGTGTGACTCCAATGGACTGATTCTGGCATTAAAAGCCTCAAAGACCCCCTACATGTTCCCATGCAAAACATTTCCCTCAAAGTAACTGTGATCTTTGAGAAAGATCTGTTGGACGACTAGATTCCCAACGAAGACTGATGAAGATTACCATCCTAATTCAAACAAGAGCAAGAATGCTATTCTGTGCACTCCCCTCTGAGGAGTTTATTTTTCAGTGATTTGTACATTCTTCACGCATCCAGATCCTCAGGAATAACCATTAGCAACTACATAATTGATTTATACAGTGTAGGTATTTCCTGCTAAGAAGGAGATTTCACTAACTAGGGTGGTACGTGCAGAAAGAGATCATTATGGAGCCGCAGATGTGAGTTAGTAGAAAGCTGTAGTAGGCTGAGGTTAGGTTGGCACGCGGCTCACGTTCCTGGAGCTCGGCATCTTCAAGCCTTGGAGGCTGGTAGCTACCCTGGTATCTGGGTAAAGCACTGACAGATACTGGTCCTGCAAAGGCCCTGGGGCGTCTGCCTGACATTGGTGGAGGCTGGATGTGTGTGGACTGGAATCCTGAGAAACATTCTGTGTAAGAGCTAAGGCCGCAAGGCTTCCTGGCTAACGTATGCCTGCTTTCTTTCCTTCCTTCCTCCCTTCCTTCCTTCCTTCCTTCCTTTCTTCCTCCCTTCCTTCCTTCCTTCCTTCCTCCCTCCCTCCCTCCCTCCCTCCCTACCTCCCTCCCTCTCTTCCTTCCTTTCTTTCTTTTTATGCCTGTTTTTGAAAGGATTTTGAGTAATCAGAAACATAAATTAGAAAAATAAAAATGTCACCCTAGCCATTGGCAGATACTACATTTTCCTGAAACTGGCTTTATTCATGTACCACATTCATTTGTCCCTTCTTGGCCCAGAATCTCTTGTCTGAAACAAGTTATTTCCGCTTTTCTTTTTATTCAGTCTTTTGTTTTCAAATAATATCTGTTTCAGTCTTATTTCTTCTCATTTTAAGCCTCTTGGGCCCCTCTCCTTCCCCTCTTCACAGTCCATCGAGTTTAACCCAGTGGCCTCCCTCCGCAGCCCCTCTGCCTCTTGCCGTCCTCTTTCCCATGCTCTCCAGTCCAGACACCCTCTTTCCTTGCTCAATGTGACTTCCTTCACTGCCCTGAAAACACACTGCTTAAACATTGAGAAGTTTCCTAGGAGTGAGCAATGAGTTACTTGGACAATAATTTCAGACTTTAAAAATCCTTCCTACCAAACAGCATACAACTGTGAAAGGTTTGGCGCTTTGAATAAATCTTTACATCTTAAGCACTGAGCTGGGTACAGATTTCCCTTTATCAGACTCTTCAATATCAAAACTATAGATTAAATCTGAAAACATCCCGGTAAAACCAAAGATTAAACAATAAAGTTATCCTTAGCGGAACAGAGGACACTGAAATAAGTACTTGGGGAAAATTACTCTTACTAACTTTTTGCAGAGAAACATGTGAATTATGTGTGCTACATGGCTTTAACAGCCAGAGATTTGGGAAGATGATTAAATGACACCATCCTAAAATTTTATACCAGGAAAATCTATTCCTAGAAATGTCAAGGAATATTTTACTTCTACGAAAGGTTTGGAACATAAAGTAACATTCACTATATATACCTTATGCACCTTTACAGAAATCTTAATTGAAATTAGGTTTCAAGGTCAAATTAATTTGTTACTGAATATATTCGATGATCTGAGTATATGACTATTATGAATCCCTATACCTCCAGCTTAGTGTTTTGAATATCAAATGTGGGACCCTTTTTAAGCAGAAACCTGGCATTTTATCTATAGTTCCTGCTATCACTGAATACATTTGCATGGCAAATCCAAACGTTGCCCCAGCTGCCCCCAAATTTCAAATGGTTTTTCTGATATATATTTATAATTAATAGAGTAAAAGGAGACTCTTAAATATTGGCTTAGGTGACTAGAATTCCAATATTCCTTCTTGGTATTAGAATGGAAACATGGCGATATACATTGTTTTCAAAGTGGTTAACTTCTCAAGATCTTGATGCTGAAATCCATTGTCCCTGTCTGTGATTTTTGAGGATTCTTGGAGAATTGGAGGAGATGTACCAGAATTTTGGAAATAGTAGATTGCTCCATGATGCTTTAAAGTGGAAAACATATAATGAGAACTAGTAACTTAATGACTGGAATAATTGAGTAACTCCTGAAAAATTGTCAAATATATTCTTTGTGAGACTTTGGAAGCTAACACCCGACTATTAGAACATGCTATTATAGACTTGTTACACAGAGTTCTCCTAATGTTTATAAAAAATGTACATTTATTTTGTATCCATACCTGTGGAAAGCCTGGATGTTTGGTCCATACATCAGTACCTCATGGCATCATTATTTATGTGGTGACTGCTATTGGCATTGTTCATAGAGTGCCAGGAGGGTATGGTAACAGCCTATAAGACTTGTTATATGAATTCAAACCTCAGAGTGACAAGGATCATAGTAGTATTCAGTTTCCTACTTTAATTTGGTGAAGTTTAAGATAACAATGTTCATACAAGTTGAAGAACTCTAAATTAGAAAAAAATAGAAAATAATATTTCACTTAGTTGGCTTTGTTTGGGTGGTACGGTAGCATGGTTAAAAGCAAGTTCCTATTAACCATGCTACTTGAATTCTAGTCTTAAATGCTTTACTTACTAGCTGGGAATCTTTGGAAAATTATATAACCTTGATGTGCCTTAGTTTCTTAATCTACAAAATGGGAATAACAGCATTACCAACTTCACAGCTACTGTGAAGCACATAAAAATATATAAAATATTATAACTATCATCATCATCATTGCATACTTAGTGAGAACTTTTTGAAAAAAATTCAAAAAGTATACAATTGGAAGCATAAGACTGTTTAAAAGAATATTTAGCTTATTTCTCTTATTAAATTGTCATCTGGTTGCAGAGGTGGTTGTGATAAAGTGTTTTTTAAAAATATATTTTTATTGATTTCAGAGAGGAAGGGAGAGGGAGAGAGAGATAGAAATATCAATGATGCAAGAGAACCATTGGTTGGCTGCCTTCCTCACAACCCCCACTGGGGATAGAGCCTGCAACCCAGGCATGTGGCCTGACTGGAAATCAAACCGTGACTTCCTGGTTCATAGGTCGATGCTCAACCAGTGAGCCACACTGGCCGAGCAGTTGTGATAAAGTTTTATAGGA